CCCCATATAATGGTACCTCCCGATATTCGGTATTCTGATGATTTTAGCTGCATTATTCATCGGAATTGTTTCAAATTTTGTATTTGAAGTTCGTAATGGATACTACAGCCTGAGACAGAAAATTGTCTATGCCGGCCCACGTCTTCGTATAGTCGCCATATAACGGTACCTCCCAATATTCGGTATTTTGATGATTTTAGCGATATTATTCACCGGATTTCTTTCAAATTTGGTATTTGAAGTTCGTAATAGGTACTACAGCCTAAGACAGAAAATTGTCTGTGCAGGTCCATGTCTTCGTATAGCCCCCATATAACGGTACCTCCCGATATTTGGTATTTCGACGATTTTATCGACATTATTCACCGGAATTCCTTCAAATTTGGTATTTGAAGTTCGAAATGGATACTACAGCCTTAGAGAGAAAATTGCCTATGCAGGTCCACGTCTTCGTATAGCCCCCATATAACGGTACCTCCCGATATTCGGTATTTTGATGATTTTTGGCGACATTATTAACCGGAATTTTTTCAAATTTGATATTTGAAGTTCGCAATGGATGACAGGAGATTGTCTGTGCAGGTCCACGTCGTCTTGTAGACCCTAATATAACGGCTACATTCGGTATTTTGAAGATTTTAACAGAATTTTTAACGTATTTTATTTTTTTTTGAAAATTGCCAAAATCGTTCCAAATGTTAGAGGGTATTCAAAGATCGGCCCGGACGAACTTTCAGTTTTTTTTACTTGTTTTTATTTAAAAAAAAATAGAATTTTCTTTCTAATGACCGAAACTTTTCCGCCCATAACTAATTTTGTCATTTTTTCATATTTTTCCTTTTTGTGTGTGTGTGTGTGTGTTTTTTTTCACTATAAACATAATAAACTATATAAAATAATAAATGCTATGACACACCTTTACATATATATGGCCTAAAATTATAAATTATTTTATTTTTATTTAATATTTAAATTTATATTAAATTATTATTTAATATAATATTTATTATTAATTTTGTTTTTAGTTACGTTACGTTTAAACTAAGTTTGATAGGAATTTTGGGGGGTTTCTTGTTTTTAAAGTTTAGTATATCTTTTTAAATTTATAAACTTTTTTTTGTTAATTTTTAAATATTTGTTTTTTATAAATATTTAATTTTTTTCAATTTTTTATATAAAGAGACAGTTTTCGAGTAAAAGTTCATCAAAGAGGAAAAGAGCTTACATCTAAAAAATAAAAAAAAATAAAACTAAAATAATCTTAAATTTTTGTTCACACACTTAATCACATAATTATTATTATTAATTTTTTATATATAATATATTAATGATTTTTAGGTGTGTTTTTTTTTTTTTGTATTGTATCTAAAAAATGGAAAATAGTGTTGGGTTTTTGTTTAAGGGTGGGCATTTTATTTTTGTTCAGTTTTTTTTTTTTGTTTTGGGTGGAAATATTACAAAATGTCTGAATTGTGTCTTTTGTGTTGTTGTATAAACTTTTTCTCTATACAAAAAGTTTTGTTGTTGTTGCCTTTGTTTTAATATCAATTTTTTTATTTAGTTCTTATTTTTAAATTACTACTTAATCTATGTTTGATATTTACATTTTCCAATATTTCCATGGTTTTGAGAGAGATAGAGACAGTTTGAATAAGAGAAGAGAGTCAGAGGTAGGGAGTGAGAGAAAGCTTTGAGTCGTCAATTAGCCTTTGGAGGGAGGCAGATGTGATACGTTTATGTAATTATTTTATAGAACAATTAAAAAACCGTGCTTGAAATGTAACAACAGCAAGCTGAAAATATTATAAAAAAAATTACTAATGGAAGCTCTAACAATTTACAAAAAAAAAAAAAAAAAAAAAACAAAATCTGAATTAAAGATTAAAAAACTCTATAAATGTTTATCCTTAAATATTCTCAAAGAATGAAAGAAAAAAACAAAAAAATTAAATGCTGCATGAGTTAGACTTAGAAAAAATATATATTTTTTAAATCCTTGGAAAAAAATGTCAATATTGATATATAATACGATAATTTTGCTCCACATTGGAGTCTCTCAAAATTCTTAAAAATATAGATTTTGACACTCAGGTATGCTTCAAAAGTTCTGTAAAAAATACTTGATTCAGGACCTTTAGGAGGTTTAAATATATATGTAATTTAATTTCTTTGGGAGGCTTTAAAAATTCTCTAATTTTTTGGTTTTGAATACCCTGTTTAATTTCTATGGGGATGATATTTAAGGTTATTTAATTTGGTCCATTACGTAAGGCTTCGCAATTCTGTAGTTACATTAGGTAACATTTCAATCTTCTTCTTATTTTCCTGATTTAAGTTCTTCAGGGAGGCTTAAAAAATTATTAAAAAAATATACATTTTATGTTTTTCAAGTGGCTTAAGAAACTCTTTGAAAAATCCTGAAGGTAGTTTCTATATGGAGGCTTACATAATTCTTGAAAATATCCTAGATTTGGGACCTTCCTTTAAAAAATTGAAAATTTAGAAAAAAGATCTAAAATGTGGTCCTTTAGGATGACTTTAAAAAATCTTTAATAATTCTTGAAAATGTCCTGGATTTTGGTAATTCCTTTAAAAAAATTAAAATTTAGAAGAAAGATCTAAAATGTGGTCCTTAAGGATGACTTAAAAAAATCTAAAACATGCGCAATTGTGGTCCTTTAAGGAAATTTAGAAAATTCCTACTTTACGTCCTTCAGAAGGACTTACATATTTTAAGAGAACCCCATTTATCTTCCATAGTAAGAAATTTCAAAAGTTTTTCTATTTGGGAAGCTTTGAAACCAGTTTAAGAAGTTTTTTTAAAAATAATTTTATAAAAAGACGGGCTTGAGGGCCAAGTTACTTAAAAATCCAAAATGTAATCGGAGGCCATTATAATTCTTCAAATTATCCTCAAGAGCAAGTGTCCTAAAGAGTAAAAGAGGTCCTTTAATGTCATCCATCAAAGAAGTCTTAGAGAAATTTTTATAAAGCTTGAAACTTCTTCTGAATGTTTCTGATTTATATTCTTTCGGAGGCACAAAAAATTATTTAAAAAATATGCGGGGTGGAGCTTTTATGTGTCCAAAATTTTTTTTTGAAAACTCTAAAATCCAGTCCTTACTGGGGGCTTAAAAAATGTTTAGTACTATCCTTTATGAGATCCAGTACAATGCAATAACAATTCTTCGAATTCAAGAGTAAGATCCTTTAATAAGAACATAAATTAAGGTCCTTGAGGTATGCTTTAAAAATCCTAAAAAATACTCAAATGTAATATAATCCTGAATTTAAGTCCTTCAGAGATGCTTTAAAATGCATTAAAATTCTTTAAGAACTCCTTTATTTAGGTCCTTCAGGGAGACTTTGTATATTCTACAAACACGTTTTTTTAAAAGGTCCTTTAGGTGGCTTCAAAATATCCCCTTTTGTGATGCCTCTATGAAGCTTCCGGATTTCTTTAACAACATCCTGAATAAGGTCCTTTAGGTAGTCTTAAACATCGAACTATATTATGCAATCTTAAAGCTTTCGAAATTCTTTAAGGCATTCACGTTTGGGCGCCACTTTGCAGCCCTTAAAAAAAAAAACAGTAAAATATTCCTGATTTAGGATCCTCAGGTGGTTTTAAAAAAATCTACGTTCGGGGTGTGTCTTTGAAGCTTTTAAATTTTTCTAAAGATGTTTAAAATGGGTCATAAAAAAGCTTTTAAAATTCTTTAAAATCCATATTCATAAAGCTTGTATGGAGCTCTTAAAATTGTTTAAAAAAATCTTGAATGGAGAAGATTCAAATTGAAGTCTGAAGCTTTTAAAATTGTTAACAAAACACGTTTTTAGGCCCCTTCCTGAAGTTTTAAAATTGCTAAGAAATTCACGATTGAGATGCTTCCATAAAGCTTTTCAAATTCTTAAAGCAATATACGTTTGAGTTACCGGCATTAGTTTTTAAAATCCCTTTGAAACCCACTCCTAATAGACTTCCATGAAGGTTTCCACATTCTTTAGAAAATCCACGTTTGGGGTACTTCCAAAAATCATGGAGTTGGTCCTTGAGGTGGCTTTAAAAATCCAAGTATTGGATACCTCCCTCAACCCTTAAAAATTCTCTAAAATATCCCCGACTTGGGTTCCCGAGGTGGCTTTAAAAATCCAGGTATTGCATGCATCTCTCAACCCTTAAAAATTCTCTAAAATATCCTCGACTTAGGTTGCTGAGCTATCTTTAAGCTCTCGAAGTTCTAAAAAAGTCTTTGATTAGGTATTTTAAGTGAATTTAAAATATTCAGCTTTGAAAAGCTTTTAAAACTCCTTAAAAAATCGATGTTTGTATTGTCTTCATGGAGCTTTAAAATCATGGTTAGCGAGTTTCCCGAAAGTTTTTGTTTGATGTGGGCTGCCTATGTGAAGCTTTTAAATCCACATTTTCAAGTGCTTCCCAAAGGCTTTTTTGCCATTCGAAAAGCTTTAAAATTTCATTAAAAAAATTAAATTAGTCCTACAAGGAGGGCTTTAAATTCTCCAAATACATTACTAATCCCTCGATTTACGCCCCTTGGAAGGCTTTCTCAATTCTCATCATGATCCTCGATCTTAGGAATTTTATGCCCGGGTCTTGCAAAAATGTAGGGTTCCGGGTCCTTCCTCCAAGAAAAAAATATTTTACCGGAATCATGGCAAAAATATCTACCTCTGGAAAAATATTCAAAAAATTAAAAGTTTTTACTAAACTAGCCATGCTTTTTTTCAAATCTTTTAAAAGGCTGAAATTTTTTGTCAATAAAATTATAACAAATTAACAATGAATTTAAAAACGATAGAGAAAACAGCATTTAAAATTAAAATTGAATTTTAAGATTGAAAACAAATAATATTATAGAAAACTATTGATTAACGCAAAAAGCTCTTTAATATTTTTTCAAACAATGAGATATATTTTCTAAAAAAAAAAATAAAACAAATTTAAAAATTTATTCGCTCATTTCAAATTTTAAGAGGAGAATACTTTCTTTGATATATGAGATAATGGAACGCTCTCCGAAACTTAACAATTTAAAACATTAATTTGCATATCCACCGACCAAAAGCTCTTTATCAACTCAAAGCTCTCTCTCTTCCCTTTCTTTAAAAACTTGAAGAGTACATGTGACGAATCCTTATTTTAATATTTTTTATACAAAATTTAGATGATTGGAATAGCTATGTTTCCCTTGTAATTTTGTTTTTCTTCAGATGGCTGGCTGTCGGTGAAAGTCCAAGGCCCAATGAATGCTCTCTCTTTCTTTTTCTTCACTCTCCCAGTTAGCTAATGGTGTATATGGTCTGACGATGAGGCCTTACACCATACCTTTGGACATCATGCGCACGGTGTTCTTGAGAGCTTGACGTTTATTACAGAACCAAATGCGTATAACTTCACGTTCATAGCCTAATTGATGGGCCAGGCCGGTAATTTCGGTTCCTGAATAACAAAAATGAGGGGGAGAAAAACATTTATAATTAACGATTGTTTAGAAGTTTTTTTTTTCAAGTAAAAAAAAAAAAATAAATAAAATAAAAAAAATAAAAAGTAAAATATTAACAAATCATATTTTCTATAAAAACTTTTATAAAAAAGCTTTTAAGTTTTCTCAATAATATAGTAACTAATAATAATTATCTTCACCATAAATCATATACATTTTCAGAGAGCTGTCTACTTTTTTTTTGGAAATTATAATATTAATAATAATCTCTTATGTTTTTAGTTATTTTTTTTTTTTATAAAAAGGTGGACTTCTTGAAGGAAAGCTTTTAAACTTTCTGAACAATTCATGAAATGAATATGATTTCGATCATATCTAATATTGGGAAGATGTAAAGCTTTTATAAAAAGCTTTAAAGTTTTTTTTTTTCAGAAATTATAAAATAATTAATTAAAACGTTTAAAATGATAAAAAATTTCTTTAACTAATTTTAAGCTTTTGAAGAAAGCTAACATTTTATAAAAAGCTTTCAGGTTTTTTTTTTCAAAAATTATAAAATAATCAATAAAAATTTTTAAAATGATAAAAAATTTCTTTACCTAATTTTAAGCTTTTAAGGAAAGCTAACATTTTATAAAAAGCTTTCAAGTTTGTTTTTTTTTTTTTAAATATAAAATAATTAATAAAAAAGTTTAAAATTATAAATAAATTGCTTTATAACATTTTAAGCTTTTGAAGAAAGCTAACATTTTATAAAAAGCTTTCAAGTTGGTTTTTTCCAAAAATTATAAAATAAATAATAAAAACTTTTAAAATAATAAAAAAAATTCTTTATCACAGTTTAAGCTTTTGAAGAAAGCTAACATTTTATAAAAAGCTTTCAGGTTTTTTTTTTCAAAAATTATAAAATAATTAATAAAAACTTTTAAAATAATAAAAAACTTTTCTTTATCACATTTTAAGCTTTTGAAGAAAGCTAACATTTTATAAAAAGCTTTCAGGATTTTTTTTTACAAAAATTATAAAATAATTATAAAAACGTTTAAATTCATAAAAAAAATTATTTGCTTTATAATACTGTAAGCTTTTGAAGAAAGCTTTCTTAAAAAATTAAAAATTCACAAAACATTATAAATTTAAATTGTATTATTTATTTGAGGCAAATTGTGAAATTACCACTCACCCGATGGATGGGTATTGCGCTCAAAATGAGCATTCAAAAGCTCCAAGGCTTGCGGTGTAAACGAGGTACGTCGTTTGCGTTTCTTCGATGGTTCAACGCCAATGTAATCGGTTAGATGGTTTTGGCCCGACTTGAAACGATTCCAGTGACTGCTGGGAGTAATGAATGGAAAATAGAGAGAGAGAAAAGAGAAAGAGAAAAACCAAAGTTAGTAAATCCTTAGAAACGCCACTAATAGCAAACGCTGTAGGAACTTAATCCATACTCTCACCTCTCTTCGGCCTCTTTCATCCAACGCTCGAGAACGGGTTTGATTTTCTGAGCGCTCTTTGGTGTTATATCCAGCTTTTCGAACCTAAGGAGAGTTATTGAAAAAATAAATAATGTAAGTCGGGGAGAAAATCGTTCTGTTTCGTGTTTTTCTAATTTTAGTATGCGCTTCAGGTTTTGTTTTTTTCTTTAAAAAAAAGTGCCAGGACATTGTCTGTTCACAGGGGATTTTTCGATTTTCAGAATTGTTCAAATTTTTTTTTTTGAATTGTTCAAAATAATTTCTATATTTTTATAAAAAAGCCAAAAATAAGCAAACAAGGTTTTCTTTTTGTTCTCATCAAATGAGTTGTTTTTGGGGAGAGAGTTAACTCTCTCCCTCTCTATCTCTCTTTCTGTTTAAATATTTAAGTGAGCTTAAGTTATATATTTTAATATGTGTGGCAATGCCCTGGCCAATACAAAAACAACACAGCCTGTATTTTTTATAAGTTTAGCGCATACTAAAAGTAAATTAATAATTAAACGAAAATAATTAAATGAAAAAATATTAAAATATTGTTTTTTTGGTGAGTTAATTACAAAATTTAACGCAGTTTGGGAATTATATTTGGGATACATTTTAGATTTATTTTATAGTAAAAAATTATGGATTTTTAAAGATTTTTTTCAAGGCTATTAATAATTGGTATATTTAAAAATAATTTATTTTTAATACAATATTAAAACGTGGATTTTTCAAGAAATTCTGGAATTTAAAAAGGGAATTTTTGAATAGTACAGAATCTTTTTAAATTTTAAATACATGGAGTTATAGGGACATATTATTTTCTATGATTGTGAATTTTTGTTGATATTTTTTCAATAATTGTGAAATTTTGAAAAATATATATATTTTTGAAATTTTTTACGAAATTGAATTTTGTGGAAATAATTTTTTAAAAATATGGAATTTTCGAAATTTTTTGTATAAACTAGAGATTAAATAAATGACGAATTTTCGGAATTAATTTTTAGATTTTAAATAACGAAAATATTTTTTTAAAAATTATGTTTTTATATACCCTAAACATTATAAGTTTTATTGGGCCAAAAAAGTTTGAAACACTTGAAAATATTGGTCCTAGACCCACGATATTATGCATCGATCTTCCTGTTTTCGACGAACTGAATCAATCAAGCAATGTGTGTCCGTCAGTTCGTCTGTCCATATTAATTTGTAATCACGCTACAGGTCGCTATTATAGCGGGATCCTCACGAATTTAGCTTGGAGTTAAAGATTGGGCCAGAATTGAATCCTATTCTTGGGGAAGAAGGTCGAAAAATATTCCGAGGTTGAAATGGACAAAAAACAGAAAATAGTTCTAATTTTGTAGTCGCTCTACAGGTCACAATTAAAGACCAAACGGCACGGAATTTCGCATGGGATTAGAATTTGGGATAAGACAGAAACCTAGTATTATTGGGAGACCATCGGGTTTTTTGGATGAAAATAGTCTTGGGTTTTTTTAATGTTTTTTTAAGACTGAAAATCGTCGATATTTTTTCAATTTTTTATTTTAGACTGTATGAAGTGTAAGAATTGTTTTGAATTTTGGAATAAATTTTTTCAAAGCACAAAGTTAACGTGATTTTTTTAAATATTTTTATTTAAACTGAAAATATTCCTCAATTCTTTTAATTTTATTTTTTGGCTGAAATACGGTTGTGGATATTTTTAAAGGTTTTTTTAAGACTGAAAATTGTTTGGATTTTTTTAATTTTTATATTCCAGACTGTCCGTAAATAGTTTTGGATTTTGGAATAGATTTTGAAATAGATTTTTTAAAATATTTTTTTATAAGATGGAAATATTCTTCCATTTTTTTTAAATATATCTATATATTTTTTGGCTGAAAGCTGTAGTGGATTTTTTAAAATATTTTTTTGAGGCTTAAAATAGCCGTAGATTTTTTTGTAAATTTTATTTTAGACTGTGAGTAGTCATAGACGTTTTTAAAAAGCTTTTTTTAGCCTGATAATAGTACTGAATTTTTTCAAAAATATTATTAGTTGTGGATTTTTGAGAGAAGTTTTTTATTTTTATTATTTTTTTTTTTTTGGCTGAAAACTGTTGGGGATTTTTTTTTAAAATTCAAGTCAAAATATTGTCGTAGATTTTTTTGCATATTTTGTTTTAGACTGTGAGTAGTCATGGATTTTTTTTAAATAATATTTTGAAGTCTGAGGGTAGTCCTGGATTTTTTATTATAAAAATATTAATTGTTGAGGATTTTTGAAAGAAGTATTTCTCTGAGCTATCATTTCCGAGAAGTGAATTTGTGAAATGATATTTTTTCACAAGGTAAACAATCGTTGAGCATGTTTTGAAAAAATCCTTTTCAAAGCTATAAAAAATTGTAATTTTTTGAAAATATTTGTTTCAAGATTACCAATAGATGTTAGTTCTCGGCAACAATTTTTCAAGGCAAGCAACAGTTTTGGTTGTATTTTTTTGGAAAATATTTTTCTGATTTTTGATGATATTTTTCATAGCACATATTGAATATACAATTTTTCGAAAATATTTGTTTCAAGATTACCAATAGATGTTAGTTCTCGGCCACATTTTTTTAAGGCTAGCAATGGTTTTGGTTGTATTTTTTTTTGGAAAATATTTTTCTGATTTTTGATGATATTTTTCATGGCACATATTGAATATACAATTTTCTTTTGTTCAGAGACCCACAATGAAATTTGATCTAGAATAATTCTTCCTTTGAGGTTTACTCCAAAAAATGAAGTATAATCGGAGATTTTGACGTGGATTGGAAATAAGTGAAAATAACTGTTGAAGAAGCCAAAACTGAATTTTCATTTGCAGTACCTAAATTTCTAAAATAATTTCCGTAAAAACTATTAAACCTAGATATATAGTTTATCCTGAGATTTATATTGAAATATTGTGTAGAATATTTCCTCTTTTGACATGTTTTGTCTAAAATGAAATTTTATGTTACTTTCAGGTGTCTAGTCAAAAAAATTGGGAAATATTTTCAGTTTTTTTTTGGAACTTTTATGCCAATATTTTTTTAATATACCGTGGAAATATAGATTTTTGTTCTTCAGTGACTCATAGTGAAATTTGATGAGGAATATTTTTGTCATTGACGTCATCCTTCTAAAATAATGCTTTGTAGGAGATTTATGCCCAAACTCGCATAAGCTACGGCTTTAACCCTAAAATGTGTTTTTTAAAATTTTGAATTTCTGGGGTTTAGCTAAGATTTGGACTTTTGATGTCTTCTGGGACTTATAGTAGAATTTTATGACAAATCATTTTGTAGAATGCTTTGACTTGTAAGGATACCGTTTAAAGGGTGTTTTCAAACAGATTTGGGAAAATGGACTAAAAAGACCCCTTTCTTGGCTCGCTTGAGGGTTAAATTTCCACCAAAATATTCCTCGTATTATTGTCTGCAATATTGCCAAATACCTAAAATATAAGGATTCCAAGGAATCTTAATGGGAAAATTTCCAAAAGTGTGGATGAGGGGAGAACTTGCCCCCTCTATGTGGGTTATTTTGCGATGTAAACTCTACTTTCATAACCTGCTGGATTTTAACTGTAATTATTTTTTATTGGCGTTTTATAAGACTACAAGCACGGAATTTTTTTTCCATTTTTTTGAAAATGGATAATTTTTTAAAAGCTGCCAAGAATACGAATATTTTTCAAACATTTCTTAAAGCTAATTGTGGGCATTTCAAGGACGTCTACAAGACGTCATCAAACCATCAAGGACTTACATTTTCAAAAAAAAAAAAAAAATTTTTCACTTTTATATATGATCGCGAATTTTTTAAATATTTTAGACTGAATTTAAATATATATATATTTTTTCTTGCGATATTAATTTTTTTCTACATGTATAGACCTTAATAAAAAATACATATTTTTCCTAATATAAAAATTATTGTGCATTTTTTAAAAATATATATTTTTTTTAAAACTACACCTTAAGTTTTTTTTGTAATTTTTTTTTATTTCCAAAACTGATAATAGTATTGGATTATTTTTTCTCTAAAAATGTCAAGCTAAAAATACTTTTTTTTAGCATTTTTTTAGCCACCTTAATATCTATTATCCTAAATTGCGTTAAATTTTGTAAATATTTCATGTTTATTTTTTTTAAGTTATAACAAAGCAAACAATTAATTTTAGTATTTCTAAATTTTAATTTTTTTATACTGAAAAAAATTGATTGATTCATACTTATTTTTTCCGTTTTCAACATACATGTTTTGCTGTTGAGACGAGAGTTGAGCAGCGTACATTTGTGCGGCTAATGCACTGTTTTCGTTTTTTTTGGTATTTCGTTGTCATTCGTATCAATTTGGGGGTGTCAGGGGATTTGTGTTTTGATTTTTCGTTCGTAACAAAGCCGTAAACAAGAAGGTATGGAAAAAAAGTATACATATATAGAAAATAAATATTTTTGTTTTGTATTTTTATTATTTCAATTAATTTGTATTAAAAAGCAATTAGCAATTGTTTGGTTAGTTTTGAGAGTTGAAAGAAACAAATGTCCTGGCACAATAAATAAATAACAAAAATTTTGGTTAGTTTTTTTTCGGTTTTTTGGTAATAACTCTTTTTTTTTTGTTCTTCGGAAAGTTGGTAGTTGGAACAAAACACAAAAAAATAAATAAATAACTGTTATAAAGGCTATGGAAAATAATCAGAAGTAAAAATAATAATGTTTATATAATAAATTGTAAACAGAAAAAATTCTACTAATTGGTATTGTATAAAAACTACACATAAATGTAAATATTTTTATTTTGGTTTTTATTTTACAAAATCAGTAAATAACTGCAGAAATGGGCCTGTATAATTTTTCTGTGGAAATTTGAAATTAAAATATTTTTTTTTTATATTTTGTTCTGTGAAAATTTGAATTAAAAAATATTTCTGTTACATTTTATTTTTATTTGAAAGTTTTTGCTTCACTTTTTCATAAAAAAAAAAATTTTCACAAAAAAAATATGTTGTTCTGGGCTGGAGTCTTATTCTGTGAAAATATAAAATATTTTTCTTATATTTTTTGACAGTTTTTATTTCAAATTTTCACAAAGTAGCAATAGAACCCCTGGTATAGAGAATTTTTTTTTTTGAAATTTTGAATTTTCAGAAATACGACTCATACATAAGCTGAGTTGTTGAAGGAAAAAAATAAAAAGTATACGTGGTGGCATTATTCATACGTCTAATGTTCAAAATACAATATTAATCATACGCTCCATATAACAACGTTTTATTTTAAATAATAATTTAATCGACCCCGAAATGAATTTATTTTCTTATAAAAATTATTCTACATAATTTCAAAATTTTCCTCTGGTGTAAGTTTCAAAATTAAAGATTTTTTAATTTTTAAAAATTAAATAAAAATAAAATCAAAGGAAAATCTACTTCAAAAATTAAAAAAAGTAATTATATTAAAATTTAATAATTTGTATCCTAAAAGTAGGTAATGTTTTTTGTTTGAAATTTCTGGAATGTCTTAGGCATAAACAGAACGTATACGTTGTGGCATCACACATACGCCTTAGATTGAAAACTAATATAAAATACAAATAATATTAATAAATAATTAATTAATGAACTAAATAATTAATAAATGATAATTAATAATTGAATCGACTCCGAAATGATTTAAATTAAATGTAATAAAATTTATTATAAAAATCTAAATAAAATATAAAAAATTATCCTCTCGAGCTAGTTTCAAAATTTTTAAAAATTAATTAAAAATAAAATCAAAGAAAAATATACTTCAAAAATTAAAAAAATAATTATAATAAAAACCAATAATCTGTATCCTAAAAGTAGGCAATGTTTTTTGTTTGAAATTTCTGAAATGTCTTAGGCATAAACACAACGAATACGTTGTGGTATCACACATACGCCTAAAATTGAAAATTAATATAAAATACTAATAATATTATTAAATAATTAATAAATGAATTAAATAATTAATAAATAATAATTAATAATTAAATTGACTCCGAAATGATTTAAATTAGATTAAAAATAATAAATTATATTGTAAAAAATCCAAATAAAATATAAAAAAAATCTCCTTTCGGGTTTAGTTTCAAAACAAAAATTTTAGAAAAAAATAATATTTGATAAATAATAAATAAATCGACTCCGAAATAATTTCAATTAAATAATTTTTTATAAAATTTAATCTCAAAAATTTGAAATTCAATTTAAAAAAATATTATTAAGAAAAAGAATTCTCATTTAAAAAAATTCTCATTTAAAATTAAAATTTTAGAGAAATATTAAAAATATATATATATAATTACGAAATTAAAAATAAGACTACAAAGGACATTTTTCTACGTTTTAAATAAAAAAATATATTTTAAATAAAATTTAATTTTGGTTTCCCACTCACCTGCATATGGCACTTTGACTGTATGCTGGGCCCTCGGTAACAGATAGGGCTTGACCCACCTGGGTCTGGGTTAGGCCCAATGATAAACGTCTTAACTTAAATGCTTTGGCAAATTCTTTAATTTCATCTAGATCTATGCCATCAACCATATTAGTGGTGGCCTGATTGATGGTGGGCTCGTCTAAAAAAGGGGGAAAGAGAAAAAAATATTTTTTAAAAATATATTTTTTATATTAGAAATAGTTAAAAAAAATTTAAAAAAACCTAATCCCTTCTTAAAATTAACTTTAAACTCTCCTTAAATATTTCTTCCGGTGTAATTTTCATTTCAGAATTTATTAATAAAAAAAACGTATACGTAGTGGCAACATTCATACGCCGGAGTATCAAAAATTAATATTACTCATACGTACCCTACTACAACGATTAATATTTATTAATAATAATAATAAATAAATAATTAATAAATTAAATACATTTTTATAAAAAAATAATTAAATCAACCCCAAAATGGTTTAAATTAAATTTATTTGTTGAAATGTATGCTACAAAATCGAAATAAAATTTAAAAAAATCTTCTTTTGTGTTTCTTTCAAAATTTAAGATTTAAAAAATAATTAAATAAATTATATATAATTACTAAATCGACCCTGAAATGATTAAAATTATTTTTTTAAGATTTAAAAAATTTTTCTCAAAATTCCTTGTCCAACTATATTTTTTTTATTAAAAATCAGTGAAAAAAATTAAAAAACCCTAATCCCGTCTTAAAACTAACTTAACACTCTCCTACAGAATGTTTTTTCTGTGAAATTTCCATTTAAAATTTTCTTAAATTTTTTTTCTTTTTTCCCTCAAAATTCCTCTACTCTTTCTTGGCCAAGTACTCATCTTCTTCTGCCAGCAGACGGCACAGACCTGTTGCCACTCTTGGCATTTCTCTTCCCTTTCTTGGCCAAGAGTTCATCTTACTCTGCCAGCAGACGGCGTAGACCTGTTGCGTCTCTTGCCATCATTAGAAAGCAATTTGTTAAGTATTATTTTGTTACCTTCCGTTTTAGTCGTTTACGTTGCAATTACTCAGGTAATTGTGGTAATTAAGTAAATGTAATTAGCATTTATGCCAAGTGCAAAGAGAGAAAATGATGCCATCAAAGTTGAAAAATGAAGATTCAGTTTGGGTAGGTTAATTAGGTGACATCAACTCGGGATGGAGCTTTAGAATTTAATTTAAAAAAAATTCACTTAAATTTAAAGACGGATTTTTTCGCAGAGCCTTTTGGGGTTTCGATCTAAAAACAGGTCCACTTGAGATTCCACAAGCCAGACTGGCTTTGTATAGTAAAAATTTAAGAAAATTTGCAGTGAATCGAAAAAAGTGCTAAATTTTTCAGAAATAAACTAGGTTTTTTATTACAAAATGTATGTCATTGTTTCTTTGGTACATATTAAGTATACAACTTTCTTTTGTTCAGAGACTCACAATGAAATTTGATTTAGAATAATTCTTCCTCTTACACTTACCCCAAAAAATGAGGTATAAATGGAGATTTTAACTTGGATTGGAAACATGTCAATTTAAAGACTAAAAATTACAAGGACATAATTTTCACTTTTAGTTCATAAAATTCAAATGTAATTTTCTTAAAAACTATTGCACCTAGATTTATGGTTAATTCTGAGATTCGTAGTGAAATTTAGTGTAGAATATTTGTTCTTTGGACACCTTCCACCTAAAATGAAATTTAAGGTCATTTTCAGGCGTCCGATCGAAAAAAGCCCAAGGAAAATTTTTTATAAAAAATTCGGTATATTTTTTGGGTTTATTTTTCGGAACATTGATGAAAATATTTTTGTGATATTCTGTGGAAATATAGTTTTCAAAAAAAAAAACTCCTCAAAAACAATGTCATCATAATAGTTAATAATTTGAAGAGCGTATACGTATTGATAACACTCATACCCACCAAAGCCTCCAATTAATGTTAATTATACGCAACACTGCTTTTGACATTATTTAATTATTTATTAATTAAATGAGATTTATGTTAAACTGTAAAGAATTTTATTTTGAGGAACTAAAAAAAAAGCAGAAATTTTATAAAAATTTTGGAGGAGAAATAGATAAATGTGGACTTAAAAATATTTTTTCAAGGAATAAGGATTTTTAACAATATTTTTTCAAGGTCCACCAATAAACGTGGATTTTTTTTAAATATTTTTCAAGTTCCACCAATAAACGTGAATTTTTTAAAAATTAGAATTTGTTGAAGAATATTTTTGTCTTTGACGTCATCCCTTTAAAATAATGATTTGTGGGAGATTTTTACACAAAACTTTCAAAACGCCGATACACGCTCTTCTTTTTTTTAACTCTACTTTCATAATCTGCTGGATTTTCAGCGTTAATATTTTTTCTGGTAGCCCAGTGTTATCCGAAAATCCTTCTTAAAATCTCTTTAAGTAGCACAATTGCCAACACCTCCCCCCTTATATTGCCACTTATGATGCCTTACGATTCCAAGTGATAGACACCGTCTATAACCTTCAATTGCCACTCAATGCCTTTTCATATAATTTAAAGTGTTTCTCATCAAGTTGTAACTCCCTAGTGTCTGTACTCATCATTATCCTTTCAAAGATACTCCCAAATTTAAGTATCATTCTTTACACCATCACGGCGCAACATTTGCTACTTCCTTGCAAAAGTTGTCGGTAATTAAACATTGACAACCGCGAGGAGCTGAAATAACACTTTGTCTTTCAAGCAACAGATGAATTATTTCTAGCTGTTTATTGAATTGCATTTTGAGTCCTTAAGCCACCAGTCACAACAATAACAACAACAAATAAGTACAGAGAAAACTTTAAGCATCAACAGAATAGAATTACGAAATTTTTAACTCTTCTTCGTCGTCGTCGGCTGCTGCTTAATGTCTCAATGTCTTTTAATGATGCAAATATAGAAGCAAAGAAAGGAAAAGGGTGATGCCTAAGGAGGGTGATGGTTTATGAAAGTCGAAAAAAAACTCCTCAAACACCAAGTAAATATAATAGTTAATATTTTGGAGGGCGTATACGTATTGGCAACACTCATACACACCAAAGGCTTCAATTAATGTTAATTATACGCAACACTGCTCTAGGCATTATTTAATTATTTATTAATTAAATGACATTTATTTTAAGCTTTAAATTTTTTTTTTTGAGGAACTAAAAAAACCTGAATTTTTATAAAAATTTTGGAGGAGAAATAGATAAACGTGGATTTTTTAAAAATATTTTTTCAAGGACTCAAAATAAACGTGGATTTTTTAAAAATATTTTTTCAAGGACTCAAAATAAACGTGGATTTTTTAAAAATATTTTTTTAAGGTCCACCAATAAACGTGGAATTTTTAAAAAATATTTTTTCAAGTCCAACAATTAAAGTGGATTTAAAAAAAAAATTTCAAGTCCACCAATAAACGTGGATTTTTTTTAAAATATCTACTCAAGGTCACTAATAAACGAGGATTTTTTAAAAATACTTTTCCGTGGTCCATTTTCTCAAAGTCACTTATTTTAAAAATAAGATCCACAAATAAGCCTGGATTTTTTTTTAAATATTTTTTTCAAGGTCCACCACTAAACGTGGAATTTTTAAAAAATATTTTTTCAAGTCCAACAATTAAAGTGGATTTTAAAAAAAAAATTTTCAAGTCCACCAATAAACGTGGATTTTTTTAAAATATCTACTCAAGGTCACCAATAAACGAGGATTTTTTAAAAATACTTTTCCGGGGTCCATTTTCTCAAAGTCACTAATAAACGTGGATTTTTTAAAAATATTTTTTCAAGTTCCACAAATAAACGTGGATTTTTTAAAAATATTTTTTCAAGTTCCACAAATAAACGTGGATTTTTTAAAAATATTTTTTAAAGTACCACAAATGAACGTGGATTTTTTAAAAATATTTTTTCAAGTTCCACAAATAAACGTGGATTTTTTAAAAATATTTTTCCAAGTTCCACAAATAAACGTGGATTTTTTTTAAATATTTTATCAAGTTCCACAAATAAACGTGGATTTTTTTAAAATATTTTTTCAAGGACCACAAATAAATGTGGATTTTTTAAAATATTTTTAAAAGACTAAAAATAAATGTGAATATTTTTTAAATATTTTTTCAAAGACTAAAAATTAACGTGAATTTTTTAAAAATATTTTTTCAAGGACAAAATATTAACTTTTTTTTAATATTTTACTATCTATCACTCCTCTTCATTCCCAATGAGACTGCTTTATGCACCGCGACTCCCTATCCCAAATACATGTCTGTAACTTGATCATCTTATTTTCCTAGCATAGACGGAACCTAGCTATACTGCGTTCTCGCCCAAAACGCCTGCATTGTTGTCTCTAAAGAATGTCATTAAAGTTGGCGTTCGGTTGATTATGCAGTGGTATGATGAGTTGTCTTTTCATGAGCCACCACTACTTTTGCCACAGACCAAACTTATTTGGAGTGATGCGACTCTCTCTAGAAGCCAAGCCATAAAAGACTGATAAAAGCCTGCATTACAGTTTTAAATATGCATATAAGCACTCTTAAGACGTGAAAAACATAAGTTTTTGTAAAGCGTCAATTAGCTGTAATTAAGAACAATATTGTTGTTGTAATAGATGTTGTTGTTGTTGTTGGTGACATATATACACTGGCAGACGGCAGACAGTAACATTTAGTCTTACTTGGAAATTTACAAGATGCAAGACATCCTCACTACACAACAAATAAATCTTGGCTAAGATGTTGAGTATTGAGATCTGGGGGTTTTTGGGTGGATGGAGAGCAAGACTTATTTTTGGGAGGCAAGGTATATATCCTTGTTGTTATTGTAGTTGTTAAGTGAAATGTTATGTTAAATTTTCACATCATGTTAATCCCTTTATTAGCTGGTGATAATTTATGTATACAATTTGTTAAGTAATTACACTTGAGAGATATAGAAATCGAGGAGATGGGAGGGCGGAAAAAATATATGTGTGTGCAGGGACTAAAAGTAAACTGGATCTCGTAAAGATATTTTTGTCGTGACTAAAAGGAAATGAGGATTTTTTAAAAATATTTTTTCAAAAACTTAAACGAAACGTGGAATTTTTAAAAATATTTTTACAAGGATCTCAAATAAA